TCCACTTTTATCACAAATGATCTCATTGACCGGTATGCGACGACCTCCGATGCTGCGTACCAGGTGAAACAGTCTTTGACTATTCCCTGATGCAGAAGGTACCTCCACCTCACTAGCTATTTGGGCCCACCGATTTTCGCGCTCTATCTTAAGACTTTTCCTGAGTTGAGGTTGCAGGCGCCACCGATCCCTATGCTGATCCTGGCAGATTGGGATCTTTCGCTTTTGATCCATAAGGATTACTGACTTCAGAGATCCAATGCGTTCGGTATGATCCGTTATTTTGTTCGTATCTTGGTCAACCGAGCAAATATTAATACTGACCTGTCACATTAGGCTTTTATCTAATCCGTTTGTTTCACATTCAGTAAATGTATATTTCTTTTTTTCCACTGCCTAACGTTTTCCTCACTTTAACTTGTCGAAAATACTGAAAATTCATCCTATCGGGTGCATAAAGCTTTACTTGACTTGACTTGAACTTCGGGCTCAGTCCCGAATGAAAATCACCTGCCAGTAGCGTAATATCAGAAATGCTCAACCGTGGAGTTCTTCCTTTTGTGAACTGGAACTGTAGTTGGTTGGTGCATATGAAGACTTGATGAATAAATATCTCTTCGTGTTGTTTCCCTTCCGAACGCTAACAGAACGCTGGAGCCTCATTGCAGACATTTCTGTTGACGGCTGAGACCTCTACTTTATCGTTTAGTACGATTCCTACACCACGCTGATCCAGTGATTGGGTTTCATCGACTCCTGATGGGCGAAGGAAATGACTCGAGGACAGATCTGGTACACTCAGATGGCTTATATTGCAATGATTATGAATTCGTCTGCGATATGCAATTTCCAAATAGTATCTTGAACTCGCGAGACGCGCTGGTTAACCCACTCGCATCAGAGTCCGCATGTTGGAGGCCTCGAGATTCACAAGTTGACGAGGCTTCGAAATCTGTAGTCTATTTAGTATTATTTGCCAGCTATTTTTTCGGGTGGCATATCTAGCGGTGGAAAGAAGGAGCAAAGGGGGATGTTTGGGTTTAGAAGCCAGAGTTGTTGGTGGGTTGAAACGGGGTGGCTAATAATTTTTAAACTAAATTTACGACTTGCCGCACCTGCATACTGCACGTTCTTGTGTACGGATAGTAAATTCAATCAGGTAACTAATTTGATGCCGTTACTTGGTAAGAGCGACGTCTAAACTTTTCTCCTGTTAAACCTTGATGTATGTGCTATGTCAATCAGCACACTAATCCTCATGGCCATCTTTTTGTCTATACATTGGGTGTTTGTTACGCTGTTTCACATTTGTCTGCACTCAGACTGTACCGAAAACATCATGGTAGGAGCATCTCTAGTAGATAACTCTGCCGTCGTCCGGCTCGCTACCACGCCTGATCTGTCGAACTCTTATGTGGTCCGCCACTCCAAGTCTCAGATCATGGTTGCGGTTTTTCTCTTCACAACCTAAACATGACAATACAAAATCATGCACGTTCCCTCTCTCTCTCGCTTGCTCTACCCACTTGCAAAGGAATCACGTACTCTTCACCCACACCAACATTCGCGAACTGGACAGCAACATTGATTCTGTACACCAATTACTACATTATTCTTTTCTTACCCTATTTTTCACTGAAATAAATTTCCCCTCGTCACACCACTCTCCTTCGAGTCGCCAACCACACTTTCCACTTCTCAGTTCTACCAAAAGCTTGTGCTTGCACCGTTATCCACCAGTCTCCGCGTCAAGAATACCAAATCTTTTCAGTCGTGAATTTCAGCTGATGTGGCGGAAGCGTTGACTTCATTCTTTCAACCGTTTCTTTTGTGCCGTATCGTTCCCGCAGTGGTGACGACTCTTTCATCTTGGATTTTCCATCTTCGATCATTGAGCACCTATTTGCAATGGACTCCGGCTGTTATGTTAACATATTGGAGATTTCAACGCTCACAATCAGGAATGGTTGACCTATTCTTATTACATCGTCCTTGGAACACAAAGCCGAACATTTCGCCTTGTACAACAACCTGAGCCAGCCATCTGGCCTTGCATGTGTCTCTCATCAAGTTGACGACCGTGCGCACACCCTAGATGTCTTTTCCACTTCGGTCTCTTTCTTCTTAGACATCTTTACTGTCTCTCTCACCTTGGTTCATCGGATCACTGCACAGTTTTCTGCTCCATTAATTATTCTAACCACGATACACCATCAACCCCAAGACACATTTAAGCTTTACAACTCGAATAACTGGGATAGTTTTCGTGACTTCCTAGCTTCTTATTCTTAGAACGGTTGTTGTTTCACTTCGGACGTTTCCAAATCTGCTTTCAAATTTACCGACATTGTTCTTCAAGGTATGCATCCTTTTCTTCTCACTCCCAGACGTGGTAAACCCAAATGTTCTGTGTGGTTTAACCTTGCATGTGATCGTACTGTACGCCTAAGACATTTAGCCGTTCGCCGTTGGACACTCGCTCACTCCCGACTGCTACCATCATTTCATGCAAACCAGGGACAGGTGCTCGACAAGCATTCAGAAACCCGAAGAACTCTTCGTCCGCTTTAAAGCCGAAAACTCGGTCTTGTCTGCCACCGGTAGACGAACACTGGTCCCTTGTCAACGATTTACGTTACAGCTGCCCATCAAACTTCCTCCCATCTCTGATTTCCCTAGTGGTTTTGTAAGTCAAGAGAAAGCGAAAGTTTTTGCTTCCCGGTCTGTCGTGAACTTCACCTTACCTCATTATCCTACTGCTTCGTCCTCTTATTTCACAGCAACCATTTCCTACCACAGCACTGGGAAAATCCGCCCAATTGCGCTCTTTAAATGCAAGAGAATCATTCAGTCTGGACGGTATTCCATTCATTGTCCTCTCTTTCTTCGATTTACCATTGATCTACTCACTAAAACTGTCAACCCTATCCATTTTTCTGCCGATGACGCTACTCTACTCTGCTCTCTCGGCTACCACACTGCTCGCCGTACCCAAATCAACATCGATCGTGACCGTAGTATAATCAATGTATCACTGAACTCTGATCTTGTGGTAGTGTCAACCATTTTTTTATATTTTTTATTACACACCTAGGTGTGATGAACAGCAGACGAGGTAAACTCCATAATCACGAGGACCTGCTGTTCAGTGGTTGAAATCGGCAACCTAAGCCCCGGAACTTGGAGTGGCGAACCACGTAAGGCCCCGATAGGTTAGGCGTGGTATTGAACCGGACGACAGCAGAGCTGCCTACCACCAAAGTCGGGTGGCGGTGGCGGGGCTCGAACCTCGAACCATAGGGTCCAAAGCACGCCGGTGACAGTGACTAAACCACTGCGCCATTACCCTGTTTCATTCAATGCTTCAAACCCGTTTTCCAGTTCTTTAAAACACCATTCATTCTGCCTCACTTATAGATGGTCAATGTTTGGATTAGCCCATTCGGTTTTTCACAGGCACCAGGCACTGCTGATGTTGGCTGTGGGTTTCACTCCCTGGGAGATCGTTAATTCCCCGTTATTTAAATACATTTAAATTCGGTGGAAATGTTTGTGGTAACCGACAAAGAGCACTGGACAGCTGTTTCGTCCTCTTTTGGACTCGTCCGCAGTGTGTACTTTTTTGTGTTGCTGTTAGGACTCGAACAGCGAACATTTGAGTCGCACCTTCAAACCCTTACCCCTGAGCTACACTTACTTTTTGATTCTGTTCCACAGACTGTTTCCCTTCTTGGATTGCTTATAAATTCTTTCTAACGCGGGTCGTCTTTGGTACCTCAGCTAGCTTTTCGTGCTCGTGCATCGTTCTATATTCCGCACCGGACGTTTCTTCATTGTAACTCACCTCTTACATTACAAAGCTCAAATCCATTCTGATCCTAAATGCTGTAGTCACGGGTGGAATCTTCTCCGTCTCTTGCTGATTGTGTTCAACGAAGAGCCATTCGGTTGACCGATGATGCTTCCCTAACCTCCAATCTGCAATCATTAGCTCATCATCGGGCAGTTGTTTTACTATGCATTATCCACCGCTACTACTTTGCTTTTTTTGTTTTCCGAGCAGGTCTCGGCAGTGCCTCTTCCTGTAACTTTTGCTCGTCCCTCTATACACTTGAATCTAGTCATCCTTATCACATTTCGGTCACCAGATGCACTTCTCTACTCCATTCGTCTCCTCCCCTCGAACTGACAATTTGTAGAACACCTTTCCATTCTTTTTCTCTTGACTTACAACCTATCACTCTTTAAGCGCAGAACCAATAACCTGGATCTTACTTGAATGTACTCCTCCTTTCTCAGTTTGTTCTTTGACCATGCATGTTTCTCATACTGTAATTGACATCGTGTGAGAATAAAGAAAGCCCACGATTTATGGACACAGTACTGCCAAAATAGACAATTGTTTTACAGGAGTCAAAAGAGAAATCTTTGGCTATTCAAAGCTTAAACTGTATGACAGCAGAAGGGTGTGCGAGGACCTTAATTCATCGGGGTCAGTGTCCAATTATTCGTTCTATTTTTGAAAAAAAAACTTAATGCTAAACCTCTAAAAGCCTCCTCACAGGTTATTGTGCTGGGTACGGCTTTAAGTCATTTATCTCTGCCATCTCTACCTTGGTCTAATATAATTGACTCTACATGCCTCTACTTAGACCCTAATAACGCGATCCTAATTATTATCCTTTCGGTTTTTGAAAAATTGTCGGTCTTCACTTTCTTATCCGACCGACTAGTTTCGATCTGTTGAATGAGAACACCTTGAAATTGAATACAATCAAGTACTGATTAATTTAGTTATTTCACTTTTTTTTCGAAACATGCTCAACAATGTGCGTCTCAGCTTCAATTTGGAAATTTTCACCCCATTGCATGCCACAGACTTCGCCCATGCAACACAGTGCTGATGCAGTTATTAGCACACACTGCCTTCTGTAAACCAATCATTGCGAAAATGTATAATTATTTTGCTGTCTTAGATGTTGATTTTTAGTCAGGGAGAAATGTTAGTCCAACTTCAACTTTCTCTGCTTGTTTCAGCCTGTGCTGGCCTTCGTTCGATGGCCACAGCCACTCTGGCTCCGGTAGCCGCTCGTCCTCCCTCCAGATCTGATCAACAGCAACACAATGGAGGCGATCTGTCCGAAACCAATAACAAACCATTACGCTGGAGGTGTATAGACGACCAGCCTCATGTGGGCAAATATAAATTTATTCGAACTATCGGCAAAGGTAACTTTGCCAAAGTCAAGCTAGCCAGCCATGTGATCACCGGGAAGGAGGTGGCTATCAAAATCATTGACAAGACTCAGTTGAGTCCATCTAGTCGACAAAAGGTATCGTTTCGCACTGTCCTCTATTCACTGTCTATCCTCTTCAGCTTTTTCGAGAAGTCCACTTAATGAAATTACTAGACCATCCAAATATAGTCAAGTTGTTCGAAATTATTGAAAATGATCGAATTCTTTATCTTGTTATGGAGTTCGCAAGTGGTGGTAAGTTATCGTTTTTGAAATATAGCATGCACATTCTATCTTTTTGTCATATGCTTTGTGTTTTTACATGGCCTTACGTAAGGATCAACGTTGCCAATTTGGTCATATTTAGTCATCTGATTCAAGCCAAAGCGGTTAACTTTGTCACCTATACGTCACAGTCCACACTTTACAAACCGGTTCTTGCTTGTCACTTATTGTCCTGATACTTGCCTCCTTTCTGTTACTTCTTTTTCTCATTGGTTTTCGCTTTATGGTTCAGTTCATTGGGTGTAAATCATTTGTATCGTTTGAACTTTGGTCATTCCTACTTGTTAGGCGTTGCCTACCTCCATTTTATTCCATTCTCTTCAACTGCTCTGTGATTGGTCAACGGAAAATGCCTTGCTGATATTTCATCCTATACCTTCTTTTCTACCTTACGTTTACCTGTCACGTGACATTCTGTTTTTGTCCCATTGTTATGTTTTAAATGGACCTATGCGTATTTTTGCCAGCGAATTCTCGCCTGCCAGTTATTTAGCCCCTGTTACAGTCATCACGGCATGCAACAATCGATTCACTCCCAGCCCACGCAAGACCAACGGGACTGTAGTGAATGCTGAACCTAAAAATTCCACAACTCTCACCCGCATATACACACGCAAATTTATGGGACATTTGAATACTGTATGCACCACGTGGAATGTTAGATCAGTGAACCCGCGCTTTGGTCCCGTTCAAGTGATCTGCTGGTTGCCCTGAATGCACTTCACCGATGTGGGGCATAACGATCTGAAGTGGTGATTTGGTACAATACTTGCTCAACATGAACAACCATCTGTATTCATACGATGATGACCCACAAGCATTGCGCGGTACGCGTGATCTGAATGCCTCTTAATGCTGCCTCATTATCTATACGTAGTTGACGTGTTGCGTATTTGGCTGACATTGGAGCACATTTAATTGTAGCAGACAACGTGATACGGGATGACGTCACGAATTCAACTTGCCGCACGCAATCTGAAATTCGCACGTGTTATTAGCGCACTGAATATTGTTGCATTGTCTTTAGAATTAACGTGCTCCAATTTAAGTGTTGTGGTCTGCTTTTATGAGTCATATTGGTTGTTTCTATTTAAAAGTTATTCTTGTCATCATTCAAACGTTCATTATCGCGATTAGGATCTGACACAAACCGGAAGGTGTTCTTTTGGCCCGAGACTTGTTAACCATCTATCCAATCGATTACCGTAAAAGAGTAAACTGATTTATCTCATCCAGTGAAGTTGAGTCAGGCACGCATTTCACATCTTTTCTTTTTTCTTTTTCATTTTTACTTTCTTTTATTGTATACACTATGATACAATTTTCAGGAAGAGGGATGCTATGCAACACACAAATGGGGAAAGCCAGGCGTTGGTAATGGCATTCGAACACGTCCCCCGGGGTGATAATTTGGTGATGTTACCACTGGGCCACCACCGCCCTGAAGACCAGTGGACTCCGTTACTGCCTTACAATATAGATATATTTTCACACACGCCTGAGTACAGATAGTCGGATATCATGGCGACGCCACAGGTGTTGCACGTTGTTGAACGCTGCTCTAACTTTCGCTATTCGTAATATGATCTCCTCCCCAACGCCACCATCAGCTGCAATCAAGCTCCCGAGGTACTTAAAGTTCTCAACTACTTCCAGCTGATCACCATAGAGGGTGAGTGCAGGCACAGGCTCCTACCAATCTTAAACAGGCACTTGGCATTTCGACGGTGCAAAGCACATACCATACCTGGATACCTCGATTGATAAGCGGTTTAACGCATCTTGGACTGCCTGTGTGTTGTCACCCAGCAAGGCGATGCCATAGGCATATTCTGAGTCAAGGACTCTGTTTCCTAGGAGTTCGACCCCACCGTTTGCTAGTCCGGACAAAGCATTCTGTAGAAGTCAAGTCAATTATTTGCTTTATGCCCCCCGAATGGTGAACGTCCTCTATGACAAAGTTCAAAAGGACTGGGCATATGGAGCAGCCTAGTCACACTCTACTGAAGACGGCGAGGGGTGACGAAGCTGGCCTTGGCTCTAACCTAACCGGAGATATGACGATACTATTCTTTGAGGATCGATACCTCAGGTACTCCATTCCTCAACAAACAGTTCCATNCAAAGTGGAAAACCGTGCGGATATCTGAGAACACAATAATCATTGTTCTTTAGTAGGCATGGTGGTGCTCTAGTGGCTGTCGGAGGGTGAGGGTTTGATCGATAAACCCACGACCGGCGCGAAAACCAGCTTGCTCCTCGCGAATCTGCTTCTCACGTGTCTTGCACAATCTGCGGAGAATGACGGACGCCAACGGCTTTGACGCTATCAGGATCAGAACCCGTATGATTGGTGCAGTCACTGTGCGGGACCTTTTTGAAGATGCGGATAATAGTCAATTCCTCCACGAGAAGGGGACCTGCTCGCTGTCAAAATTTAGAGAACAGAGCTACCAATTCTCTAACGTGCTTTGTTCCACCATCTTTGAATAGAGCTGGGAGAAGGCCATAGGAGCCCGGTGCTTTGTGACGTCGCAGTGATTGGATCTCCTTACGGTGTTCCAGCTCAGAAAAATACTGTCGACTGGAATCCAATCCAGAAGGGCGGCTTCAGCTCTGTTATTTCGAGTCACGCCAACGCTAGCAAGACCATAAACCGCAGCCTCACGGTCCCCAGAGAGGCCTAAGTTCAGTTCAGTTCTTACAACCATTAACCATGCACTTTCGTGCGCCGGTTTTGGTTGCTATCTTTTGGTTGTCCATTTAGATAAAACAGCAGAACGAAGATTAGAATGTTGGGTGCAAATTCAAGCGGAAGATAGCGAATTTATATAGACTGATGTTACAAGAATAATGAGTAGATGCATGAGCGCCACTGTTTGCGACACCCAGTCGTATCGCTCAGTATCTCTAACCATCGGTGACCATCATCCCGAGGTCCCCAGCAAGAGAGCCTAACGGGACCTATGTGGCCGAGTTTCCTGGTCAGGGTTTTCATACCCTCATGCCAGGTCTTCGTTTGA